TCAACAAGTATTTCAGAACACTTTTTAGAAAATATTAATAAATATAACAATGCATTTCATATGACCTCATTTGGAGCAGCAGAAACTATTGTCGAAAATGATATGCCTACATTTAAAATAAGAGGTCAAGTGTATCATTTAGCCGGGTCGTGGATGCCTTTACCAAATACAAATCATAAATATTTACAAGTTTATTTTATGGATGACTAAGAGGAACAAATTGATGTGCGAATGGGTATTTGCAGTGGATTGAATAAAGGTAATTGTATTGTATAATATATTTGTTGTTTAAAACGTTTTAATTTATATATTTATACATTTAGATATTATAAGAGATTTGCAATTATTGTTACATAATATCAATCCTTTAATTACTAAGTTCAAAACTGCATTGGATCATATTATGCCCACTGATCAATACCGATTAGTCATAAATGCAAATATGGTTCCTCAAGGTCAACATAGAGGTAGATTTAATGCACCATCTCAAGTAGAAATGGCTGTAGTAATGATTTTATATGGAAATCGCGATATAATTTTATCTAGAAAAGACGAAAAGTTACAACGAATAAGTGAAACTCATAGGTAAATTCCTTTTAAAGTGTATACACTGTACATTTTTTCTTAATTTTTACTTATGTGTTTTTAAGGTCTTATGATTCTCTAGAATATCCACTGATATTTCTACACGGTGAAGATGGTTATGCTATTGATATTTTGTCATTTAATGTTAATTTAAATGAATACAATAGTCATAAAACTGTTTCTTCAAAACATTATAGACTGATGGTGAGGCATCATATCTACAATCATTTACATAATTATAGAAAACTTATTAATAAATATTGGGTAAGTAAACAATATTTTTTCAACTTAATCAAAAACATGTATAAACATTATAATAATACAAAAAGAATGTAATTTTTTTTAAGGTTGATATGTATGCCAAAATAGAATCAGAACGGCTTTTATTTATACGGAATAATCAATCAAAATTAAGAGCGGAAGATTATATTAATTTACGTGATGCTATAGAAAATGATGGTCAAGTGAATGACATTGGACAACTTTTTATTTTACCTTCTTCATTTACAGGAGGTCCAAGGTAATAAAATATTTTGTATCTTATAACTTAAAATTGCTACGAAAAATGTACTGTAATATTCATTTTAACAATCTAAAATATTGTACATACTATTAATTATTAGATACATGCACGAAAAAACTATGGATGCCATGACTTACGTTCGTAATTTTGGGACTCCAAATTTGTTCATTACATTTACATGTAATCCAAATTGGATGGAAATAAAAAGAGAACTCAAACATGGTCAAACTACACAAGACAGACACGACATTATCGCTAGAGTTTTTCATCAAAAAATTAAAGTTCTAATGAACTTAATTGTGAAACATCGGATATTTGGTGAAACTCAGTGTTATATGTATACTGTTGAGTGGCAAAAAAGTGGTAATAAATGAATAGTATTATTTAATTATTATTATTTTTCTACGTATAATTATTCATTATTTAAGGTCTTCTTCATGTTCATTTACTGCCTTACTGGTTTGGTTAGTTGATAAAATTAGACCAAATGATGTCGATGATAAAATAAGTGCTGAATTACTAAACCTGGAAAGATCGTAAAAATCATCAAGAAATTTGTATTTATATATTCCCTATCCCCTCCCGAAAACCGCATATTAATCCGATGTCACTGGACAGAATTATTTAGTGTTACCTTTAAAAGGAATCACACTGTATTTATTATTGTTATTATGATTATTAATTATTTATTTGTTTGCACTTGCATTTTTCCATTTGAAATATATATATTATACATTGAACAAATAATTTATTGTTACATTTTTTTCTGCCTTATCTCTATTCTATAATAAAAAGAATAAAATGTACCACTCCAGTGGTTGAATTCTAAATGTAGGAAATATAATTTTCAGAAATTAGCAATAATAATAACTACAATATGTAATTATATTGTATTATTTGTATAGCCAAAAAATAGGCTTATGTTTTTAAATTAAATTATAAAAAAATAATTTCTTCCGGAGGAAGATCGGGCAGCTAGTATATTATATCAAGGTATATATTAAATATCTAGTCAATATTTAATCTTACCAGAAACAACAATACATAAACCCGTCAACGACGATTAATTCAGCTAGTAAATTAATAAATAAATTATCAACATAATAGGTATTGTAAAATAAAAAAAAAAAAAATATAATATCTTTTATACTTCACTCGCAATCAACAATGTTTAAATAATTTAATTAAAATAAAATTACAACAATAATTTTATGAATAATCTGAAGGTATTCGTAATAGATATTGATATGGTATCTTGATAAATGGTACCTTCTAAAGACTCAATTATACAAGGTGATGGATAGTAATCTAGTGATAGCTTTGTGAGAAAAATATTAGTCCATTTATAATATTGTTATCATTTATCAATGGATTTCCAACTATCCTTTGAGATTGAAACATCAGTATTCCGTTATTACATCGCGACTACGTCCAGCGGTTCATTTAAGTAATCACTCAACCCTTTAGTTCTTCCTCGAACAATGAAAACAAAAAACCGGTATTGTAACCGTGAAAAACACAGTCCGAACAATGATGTGTTCGATGTTTATCTCGAGAAACTTGCAAAATGTCCATACACCAAACGTTTGTTCGACGAATAATATTACCAACGAACAATAACTTCAAAGTTATAAATGAAATAATAATATTTGGTAAGCATTGATGAGTGATAACGATCTACGATTTCATTATATTATGGTTGTATATAAAAATATAAACGTTCAACTTAAAAAGTTGAAAAATATATTTTAAGCCACGTTAAGCGAACATAATATTATAATATTATACTGAAAAATATAAATAATAGCTATGTCTTGAATAAAATATATAACAAATTATACAAAACCTACCTTTTAATTGTAATTTGTTACACTATAATGACTATATTATTTGAGGTAAAATATTGCATAATATAATACGTAGGTATTACCGGAAAAATAAATTGTATCCACAATCCGCGACATCGATGTACCAGAATTGCCTATTCAACACGCCGTGTGATGATAATATTAATTTATAATAATTATAGTATTATTGTTTTATTGAAATTCATTGAATAATAATACTTGTGATATATCGAGCAAATGGTCTATGCTAGGACTGAATAAAATGATTAATAATTAATGTTTTGTGGAAAGCGTTCACTGAGTACAACAAAGTAGAATATCATGAATTTAATATAAGCGTTTTATCATATAAAATAATATGCAAATAATTTAAAATTTGTTTTAGTTAGTAATAGCTGATTATCGTTTATGAGCTTATAATTATTAATTGCTATAGTTAATGATATTATTTTTATAATTTTATAATCATGCTACTTTGATTAATAAAGTTTATTTTAAAGTAAATTGTGTATCAAGTTGTATAAAGTTGAACAATTGGTGTATGTTGTAAACAAAAAAATAATAATACTTACACCGTATGGATTGTTATTTAAAAAATATATAATTTTTTTTTAAATATTAATTTTTCATAATATTTGATGACAATATTTTTTACAATAAATTATTTATCGACATTGTTTTTTAATTTTTTGAATAATAAGTAAGTAACAACATTATTTTTATTTTATATTCTAAATTTTATATTTTTCGGATCATACTGAATCATTAAAATTAAACGTTGACAGTAGATGGGCACACTAAAAAATGCTATTCCACTACTCTACTCAAAAAAATTACTTACAAATTATTTTTGTAATTTTATTTTAACGGGCCGAAGCCTAAATTTACCGTGGCTCATAATAATAAAACTATAATAATTTGACGAAATTGACAATAATGATCTAGGTAAGTCTAAGAGATAAAATAAAAAATTATAATAGTGTAAGAGACACAGAAACAGAACACAATTTATGTTTTATATAAATAACAAAAACTCTAAAAAGGACGGATCTACATTGGATAAACACGGCATCCTTGCAAGATAACTACTTATTAGCCCGGCAATTGCACACAATTAACACGACAATTGTATGTATAGTGAACATAAGTATTTATACTTACACAGTTACAGAATTTTACATTGCCTGCCACATAAAAATTAATTCTGTTGAATAAACTATAGTAGATGGGTGCATCGACGTATTGTCCGGAGATTCAGTAACTATATACTCTTCGATTCGTATGTATCTAAATAATTCTAAAAATATTATACTCCTTTGGAATATGAGATCGAATACTGATGTTGTAGTTCAAAAAAATAAATAACATAAGACTTCCTAATAACAATGAAACAGATTTAAAAAGTATAATTTTTTTTAAAAATTATGTTTGAGTCAAATTATGTAATACAATCTTTTCAAAAAAAGTTTTCTAAATAATGAGCTTATAGGCTTACACTAATATTTATTATTATGTATATGTATATTATATAAGACGTGTAATAATTACTAAGGAAGTCTTGCATTTGCATATTATAATATGTTATAATAATTTCCTTAGTAGGTACAACCATATCGTTGGAAACCCTGATCACACAAACATATACTTACTGTAGTTACCCTCGAACAATGTTTAATCGCCGGGATACTTCATCAAGCTTAACAAAAGGAGCTGAACCGAAATATTCGGATACCGATTCGGATTCCTAGTTTAAATCTACTGTGCTTAATGTATTATCCTTATTATTTGGCAAACTCGTAAAACTGTCCTTCTGAATGGGAGCAACCGAAACGACATAGCATTTCTCGACTGCATTGTCGGATCGCATAAAAAACGTAAAAATTATTCACGCTCAGCCAGACGATTTTGACACTGTCCCCTACCCTTCGGTAGTACACAATATACTACGGTAGATTGTTATATCATACCGCATACATTATAATATTATACTCACAACACAATATTATTATATAAAGTTTATAATTTCACAACAATTTCGATATTTTTCACAGGTTTTTGAGCGTTTCCGATTTCGTGTACTCGTACGCTTCTCGTATACTTTTCTCGTCAGATTTGGAAATCTATATTAACAGAGAATACAATACGATTACTATATAAGTCCTGTTTAATCTCAGCTGTTTTAAACATTTATAACATAAGGAACACGGTTTTTTTCCATACAAAATACGCAATACAAACATAATAATAATATTATTATGCCTATTATACCTCAGGCATCAAATAATGTGTTCGAGCAATGTCCGGTTCGTCGACATATCTGACGGTGCTGAGTTTCAGCTCTCCACCAATCCAAACGCCCTCCATAAATTGACCTTTGTCTTTGAACACGTACACGCCTTCACCGTGTCTCAAACCATTTCTCCATAGTCCATCGTAAACGTTACCGTTCACTGTAAGACGTGTATAATTATAAAGTTTCATATTTCGTAAACAAAAAATAAAAATCGATACTGCCGCATTAATAATAACAATAATATTATACTTTGATATAGCAAGTGGGTATATATTATAATATACGACGGTGGGTCTCGGTGGTTGGCCTCAGTCACTAACGTGTTCTGAGATCAAGCATCGGCCGGCGTCACTAGTTTTAGTGACGAATCCTCGCCCCACATACACGCGTTCCTCCCAGACAACCGAAACCCACCTACAAAATGCTACCAGCCGCAGAGGTGCTATTAAGATCAATAAAAAAAATAAAAAAATATTTGATGATTATTTTGAAACTAAAAAAGTTTGTGTCTAAAAGTTTGTTAATACAATGCAATAAACTATAATTTCTTAATGTTGTACAGTTAAAAAATAATTATTTGGTAACTTTTATATGTATTATCTATTATATAGGTACTCTTATTTCATATTAAAATAAATACATTTTTGGACTGGATACAGTTTTTTTGTGTCTGACCGATCTGTCGTAAGTGTTTAGTTTTCATGGTTACTATTATTATCAAAAACATATTTATGATTCATAGGCAATTTATTGTTAGGTGGCACTGCTGGGAGCCTTCCTACTTACAATTAATGTTACTTAATATGTCAACTATTATATTAAGTGGCCACACTTACTCATTATAGGTACCAGTAGTATAGATTGTAAATATATTTTTTGAATAAAAAAAAAATTGTTTACACACATCAAACCAGTTAGTTATTATTTTTATAAATATACCCTGAAGTTAATACTGCATTACTGCGCATAATTATATGCAGTAGAAAAAAATCGATTATAACAATATTATGCAAAAATGCAGATGTAAAGACTTTAAAGCCTGAATTTATGAATATATAATGTTAAAATATGCACCTAAAATGCAGTTTTCATAATTTGATTCTTTTTATTAATGTATTCATTTTAATTTGAAAATGTACATGATGTATAGGATCTAGTAGATAGTAGACCAAACATTATTAATTAAATTAATAAAAGTTATTGTTAACAATATATAGTGGTTTTGTCGTACATAATTAACTCATTTAGAGACGAGATGATTACATAATTTATGTAAAGTCACAGTCGATTGATTAGAAGCAATGATGTGTGTAGAACTCAGTAAAAGAAAGGTTTGGGGTTGGTTTTCTGATAAATAAATTCGCGGTTTGCCACCAACATGAATATGTACCTACTCTGTGTCTCTGTAGTCTCATATACCAAAATTATAATCAAGTTTTTTTCAATATTGCTCTCGATTTGCTCCAAGACATATTTTATGTAAACGTCTGCCACGTAAGTTTTTCTTTAAAGTGGATTAGTCTGGTTTGTAATTTTTTTTATGCAGTTTTTTTCACAAAACTACAGAATTTAGGAACGAATTTTTCAAATGAATGTTACTGGCTGTTAATGTGGGCGCGTTATGTGCAAACGATTAAAGATAATATAATATTATTTTATTAAAACTCTATAATTATGATTCACTTAGCTATACCATGATTATAAAGCTTAAGAATTTGTTTGTTTGAATCTCAAGAACTACTAGTTCGAATTGAATTTGTTTTTTTTTTGTGTTGGATAGTCAATTTATTGAGAAAAGCTTAAGGTTATATAATATCACGTTACGACCGATAGGAACCCGGAGAGGTGCTCAAACAGAAATTTCGAGATTTACGATGGAAATGTTTGTGTATAAATGGTCGCTATTGGTTACGGTAGAAACTAATATTATCAGTAATAGTTTTTATTTATTAATGGTTGCCATTAGCTAATCGGGCATATCAAGTACAAGTTTACATCAAATAGAATTTTCGCACATTATGCCTACCAAGGTAGCTGAGTTGCACTTATAGCCGCTTATCACCGACGTCTGCGATCGGACGTAGTCAGAATGCTTATCAGAGTGCCGAGTTGCACTTACTACAGCAAATTACACCCAAAATTAGTTAAACAATCACAATTTACATTTTTTGAAGGTCAACGAAGTTCGCGGGATCGGCTAGTATAACGACGGCTAGAAACTGTTCCGGTCGACGGTGATAAATTTTCAAATTCATTTCATGTAAAAACAGCAATTATTTATGCAATATGGCCTTTACGCCACAAACCAATGAAATATGCATTTCTTGTAGAAAAAGGCTATTATATGAATTTGCATAACTGCATATGCAAATGCATATAATTCGTGGTCTAGTTGAAAGCATTTACATTTTATACGACTATACGAGTGGAATTGAGTGCAGTCGCGGAAGTATGTCATGTGCTCATCAAAGCAAAAAGCTGTAAATACGTCTTGTACTTGTAATATAACTTATTGACAATTAGATCGAAATTATATTTTTAAGTATAAAAATAATCGAAAAAAATATTCTATTTTAAAATTAATAACATATTGTTTAAAAAAGTAAAATACTATAAGTATAATTCGATACAGCTGGTACCTAACGATTAGCAAATAGTAAGAATTAATATAATTTTTCTACAATTATTTTTCAAAACACATAGGAGAACTGCAGTTTGGTGATAAATTAAACACCTTGTATAAATGTAGGTAAAATGTATAGTTATAAATGACATAATGCAATGCAGTTCGTACCTTCTGTGAGTCTTCCTCGGCCGTCGTATTCGTTGTTTCGCCAATGACCTCGGTATACGGCACCGTCGTTCCACCGCATGGTCCCGTAACCGCATTTTATTCTGTTACCGGCCGTCGAAAAGCTACCATCGTAAATGCCGCCCTCTTCGTACCATTTGCCTTTAGCCTTTATAAAGACGACAATAAACACTGTATGTTATGGTATTATAAAAGTCCATTGCTCGCATAAAACCGGCAATCGCTACTTTTTGAGCGCGAACACCGAAACGACTCGTCTGTCGATTAACGTGACTATAATAATATCGTCGCCGTGATATAATAATATTATCGTCATCGTGTTTATTGCATATTATATACGTAAATTAAATGTAACGTATAAATAATTCCCTAAGCACTCGAAATCGTGCTGTGTCTCGTGCAATGATAATAATAAAATGTACATAGATAAGTTCAAAACGTCTCGATATATTTGCCATTCAACCCCATCTCCTCGAAAAAAATGTACAATAGAAATAAATACAGAGTGGTATAATCATTTCACTATGATATGACAACAAGTAATCAAGTATATTTAATTTTTAATTTTTTGATAAACTCTAAGATCGTTTTTGCAAACATTTTGATTTTTGTACGTCATTTAAGGAGACTGTGAACACACTGATTTTTTTTTATTTTCGAGAGAGAACCGCCTCTATATTTACTTCAAATTGTTAAGCAGATTATTTTTTTGATAGTGTCGATGTGTCTAAATTTAAATTCTTAAATATTAAAAAAATAATAAGAATTTTACCAAATGTATATTATAATGAGGATAAAATATATAAAATGAAACACTGAGAGCGTGTTGGCTGAAAATTATGCAATACCTATCAGTGTGAAATAAAATATGTGTATCCTCAACAAGTCGACTGTCTCGTGTATCACACGTACCTCTAAATTTAAATTATAGACCTTAATAATTTACTTATACTTGCCAATTTCTTCTTGAGTATCGTGTATGATACACGACTTTCTTCAAGATTATTTATTTATTTATATCTATAGGGAATTTCCCAAGCCAGAGACAATGAAAAAAAACTGAGTAGGTAATATAATATATGATAGTATCAGACCTGGTTCATAAAACTACCCTAACCCGAGTGCACGTACGATACTTAAGGCAAATCAGAGAAGTTGGTAGGGAAGTCAACTTGTTAGAGATAGATTTTTAAAGTCATGTACTACACCGTCCGTATGTCACTTGCAAAAATATGATCGTTTAAGTGCCTTAACTAATGAGAAAACTGTCGTATTCGCTATTCAGCAATAGGTATTGTGTTCAAGTCGTATAATACTATATAAGTACCTACATTATAATATTATATACCCATACATTTAATACTACTATACTACTTACGAATCGGTTATTGATCCATTGTCCTTCGTAAACGTATACAAAATGGTCATCGACTTTCTTCGTCAGTACGCCAAAACCATGTCTTTTGTTTGCGACCCAATCTCCCTCGTAAACTGTTTTGTTCTTGTAAGACTTTTTTCCTTTTCCTGAGTATAAAAACCCACCGTACAGATTTTAAACAATTGAACGACGGGGCAAAGGGAAATATTAAAATAGCTTAAGTGGATGAACGTATGTAAGTCTTTCGTGCACATTACAATCGGTTTTGTAATAATGAATAACACCAACTTGAAAAAATATAATTCGATGTTTGTGCCTACCTAACATAATATTATTATTTCATTTTGGTAAAATACCATTCGAACACTATTTTAAGATGAATTTGATGTGATTTTGCGTATTCAATATATACTACGAATGAATGAACCTACGTTTAGCATAATATTCTAGTATATTTTTAGTAAAACCAAGGTCGCTAACGACAATATTTTATATGATTTTATTGTAACTGATCCTTATCGGATACTACCATCATCGAAAGTGTGTAAGTCTTGGTAAGCAACAAGTTTGTCGTGCCTGTTCGTATTTTATTTAGAAAGTCCAGATGGTTATTGTTGTTCACCGGCAGTAATGTTGTCATCAAACGAATACTATCAATAATTTTAAAGCACAGTCATTTCAGTTAACTACCACAGTCGTGGTAGCGATTATTATATACAGAGATTCCTCGTAAATAATGTGATATAGAGATATAGAGTATAGATGGACTGAAATAAAGGATACACGCGTAGGTATTATAACCATCGACTTCTATTTTAACGTCCATCGCTATTATTTTTCAAATATCATATTGTAGAAATAATACAATATAATATCTGCAGAACTTCTACAATGGTCAGGGTTGTACACGGAATTGCCGAAATATAATAATAGTCTATTATTGTGTACCTAACCTACTTTTTCAATAAAAATAACTGACCTACTATAATGAATTGACCTACATCATCGCACAATATTCGCTATAAACTTAAAAGTCAGTTATGTGAGCGTAATATCGGCACTAAGTGTTAGAGGTTTCCACATTATTATCGTATTTGTTGTAAACTGTGTGTACCATACCGTGTACAAATACATATCACCTATACAAATAATACCCAAATGGTCCATCCGTCACTACAATAACTACTGTCTCCGTGGTTACCAGCATCACAGTTGATATTATAAAAAAAAGTACAATATATTATGACGAACGGAGTAATAAAATTTATTGATTATTGACTTATGTGTTAAATAATGATATTATATAGATACGTTTCGTTTTAGAATCTGAGTGGATGTATTGATTTTACAATGATGTGGCTTGTTTTATATTTTTTTTAGTTGTCTATGTACTTTCTTATCGTAGTTGATAATCGAAATAATGCTTCGATTTTCAACTTCACTATCTTTTCTGGTGAAAAAGTGAATCTACTTGATGCATTGAAAATTCCCAGTAGTTTTCAAAATCGTAGGAAAAAGAATTGATGTAAAACAGGAATTTTTATGCAAAAACATCGGGTATGGAAAAAATCGGTTTTGGTTTTTGGCGTTACACTAAAAAAAAAATACGTCATATATCCGTGAAATGTCTACTGTATATTTATAAGAACATTTTCAATAAACCATATAATTACCAAATCTAAATATTGATGTATACATATATTTCAATATTTATAACCATTTAAAACAATTAAATTTGAACTTAAATTTTGAAATCAATTATAAATAACTGATTAGAAATTATAATTTATATTATTACAAAGCTTAGAGTAGCACAGCTTAGCGTGCTATTTCAGAGTGTTTTGTTAATGTTGGATAAAGTTGTTAAAGTTGATGTATTTGAAAAAAAATTAATTAAATGAAAGTTCTAATCAAAAAAAAAAAATACTCACCAACTTATAAAGCTTAACAATATACCTAACCTAGTTTAATTACTATTTAGATCATCCCATTATCGTAAAGGTACAATATACATGTATAAAGCAATACAATTATTCATTTTTTATATACTTTGATTTTAAACTCGTGTTTGTTCGGGTTTAGTCATTTTTTACGGTAATAAAAGAAAATTAAAAAAACCTTTTTCCATTATAATAAGCATGCATTTTGACTTGTTTTTTTAGTCGATGACACGTAATATTACAATATAAAAAATGTCATTTAAACTTTACTTTTAAACTATTTTTTTTTTTTCATAAAAAATAAAAACAAACAAGGTATCGATTTATTTTTGTTATAATAAAGGGTATATATTGCTATTGTGTAACCTTATCTTCGATTTGCTTATTCCTAATCTATTAACTTAGGTCAATATTGTCATCGATATAAAGGGCATAAAACGAACGAATGTAAAATGAGTAAAACGATAGTCACTCTGCTGTATATTTGGTTTTGAGGTTTTGAGTGTACTTTATTATTGAGAAGTCCGCGTTAATACAGGCGTGTGTTTCAAAAGTCTTCATCTGTTATTAACAATTCATATTTATTTTTAAAAAGAAATACAACGGTGGGTCGGGGTAAAATATATTCTTAAAATGATGAATTGTTCATTAGTTTGCCAACAAATGTTCTATAATATGACCCGTACTGCATACATCTAAATTATTGTAGGTAGTTAGTATTCAAAATATTCCCAAAGGTGGCTGATCATGTCTTGTGTCACGGCAATCATGGCATGCAGGTGTTAACATAATTTTGTATTTTATTAATTATATTAAATATGAAATCAATGCATACGAAAAACAATGGAAACACACAGCATCGTAAAACCCAATATTTATCTTTACGTTAAAAATATAAAATTAAAGTTGCCACAAGCAGTAAATAGAATATTGTATGATGGTTAAACCTTTTAAGTACAGATAAATATTACAATTTATACCAATATATTATATGATTTTAAAGCATAATTTAAAAGGCTTCAATTTAGAAAGATCATATTGATTTAAAAAATATATGACTAATAATAAAACTTATTAAAATATTTTTACAATCGAATCATTTGTATCTAATGAAAAAAAGAGAATAATGAAAACCTAAATAAAAACCATATTTTTAAATGAGTAATAGAAAATTTTAATATTAAGATTTAGGTTTATGAGTTGAAATCAAATTTGAGAATTTATAACTATCAATTATTATAGACAACAATTTAGATTTATTAATAAATATAGTATTATATTCCATTAATATTTTTATAAGAATACAATCTTTTTTTTTTCAATACTACAATTTATTTATTTATTTAGATAATAAACTTCATATTTTAAATTAAAAAAAAAAAAAACAAATTAATACAATCAATAATATATAATTTATTCAACTCACCTATGTGTAATGTATTATAATACATGATAAACCAAAAAAAAAAAATATATACCATAAAATATAAACTCAGTAACATTATGTGTTGACACGTGGTTTTTAAAACTTGGTAATTCTAAGTCACGCCCAATGGCATTGTTATATGGAGACTAGAGAGTGTATCAAGGCCACCTATACGTATAGACAACGCATTTTAATGTACAATAATTGTCAAATTTCCTCGATACACCCTGTATATTATATTTTATAATATTTATTTATTTATTTATTGGAAAATTATCTGGCGTAACGCCTTTAAAAAAAAACTATTACGGTGCAATATAGGGTTCGTTAAATACTTAATATTAGTAATGCAATTATATAGACTGAACTAAAAAGCAAAGTAATTTGAATATACAACTGAAAATTGATAGTTTAAATAGATGTGGACCAATAGTATGCATATTATTATTTAACTACCTACATAGTTACCTACATTGTTAAAATAAATAACAACACAATATTATCTGAATTATGTTCTATGACTACAAACCCGTCTCAAAACAATCGAAAAACTCGACGATTAAAACCAACCTTTAATCGGCTGGCCTACCCTATCTGCAATTTATATAGCTAACTCACCTTGTTTCGTGTCGTATTCCCAGTTGCCCACATACAGCCCGTACTTTTCGTGCACCCCGGGCTTGAATCCGTTTTTCATGGAATTCTGCTCCAACCATTGTATCTTGGACGGGCCGCACCTGCGATGGATCGAAGGCATTTCGAGAGGTTTTCGATCCGAACAAACCTTCCGGACGGTGACGAGGGCGTAATAGTGGAAAAATATTATTCTCAATTAGATCCAAAGTGTCGGAGAACTAATGCCTCGCCGCCGCCGTCGCCACTGCTACCAAGCACTGTTTCTTAGCAACGCTGTTCGTTCGCCGTTGTTACTAGGTCAGGTCCGCCAAAGTGTCGATTACACGGACCTATGTGTAATAGCTATCGAAAGGTATCAGTGCAAGGCTGCAAGCACAACACTTTTTTGTTTTCTTCAGCAGAACGTGCTGGAAACTTTGTAAATAAAAACGATTTTCTCGTGTATTGCGCGAATCGATCGGTGTTGAGTTTTGATGACGGTGGTCGGTTATAATAATAAGTTATAAATACGTATTTACTTAGATACAACATAAACAAATATATAATATAGATAATGACGTGCTCTGTTACACGACGAAAACATTAGCTGACGTGAATACAAATAAATAATAGGTAATCATGGGTTACTACTAATAATATTAAGGCAGCCGCAGCCGGTGCCAATGTTATTTTATCCACAAAAATGGACGCACTAGGAACATTTAAAAAGGATCATTTCGGGAAACTCCCCAAAAATACGGTCTACGGGAATAATGATCATGTTCTGTAGAATCAATCAAATTTTATAATTTTTTTCTTTAACTCATATTCTACGAGTACATCCGCATTGAACTCCATTTATTAATATTTAAATCTGAAACTCTATAAAATGTCTTCAAAAATAATAAAATGTTAAGATTTTTTTTACGAATTATACTTACCATTATTTGAAATAAAATAAAACGTCGGAGTTCAATGAGGCTTTTAGGAAGTCTTCTTCTTTCATATAAAAATACACAGATGTCTATACTAACTAGATAAGGTACTCCTATACAATTTACATTGTTATCAAGTGAAGCTCAGCTGTGAACGGCCGCCATTTTCTCGGGAGTCAAAACATTTCATGTAATTTTCGAATTTTATAGAATTGCTGAACATTTGAAAAGCCGGCACCGAACCACTTAAAACACAGACTATTAGACGAGAAAAAAATCGTAATTTATAGGATCTAAAATCCTTAAAAACCACTACCCATAGTAAAATTTATAACAAATATTGGTTTGTTTCTCTTGTAAAAAAAAATATTTAATTTTTTGAAAACTCGAAAATCGACTTGGGATAAACACACGCTGTCTTATATATACCTACACGAATATTGAATTATTATATTATGATATAATATGTGCCTAAAGCAGTTTCCAGACGTGTAAGACGTGAACATCACTGTGGTTTAAACGAGACTATTACCAACGGCGTACTTTTATAATAATTATAATATTATATCGAGTTAGCGTATACCACTTTTGCCGAGTTCAACAAGTTCCAGACGACCGTATAATGTGTATGTTGTAGAGTCTATATAATATGTAGACAGTTATTGTACGACGTACATATCCGATATGTATGTATGCGTATGTATATAATATAATATATTATAGTACGACGTGGTGAAACACTTAAAAACTTTAACGAAACTTTCCTATGGCGGCGCTCATTCTGGAGCCTACGGGGACGCACGTCGTGTACAAATCCGGTAGAAATTTTTATCGAATCCTCGCCTAACGGCTATAATATAACAATATTACGACGGCTACTGTCTCTGTCTCAGCCACCACCGCCGCCGGGGATTATATAAAGCTGATATTCGATATTAATAATAATAATAATAATAATAATAATATGAATGTTCGTCGAATAGACGATAAAAAAAAGCGAGTCGTAGATGAAAAAAAAAAATAAAATGAAAAAAAAAAACGTTTTATTCATTTCGGTTGTACGAATCGTATATAATACGCGATGGCATTGTATTGTATATATTATTATTATATTTTGCGGATGCCGTCTGTTGGCTCTCGTTACAATATTATTATAGTTTCGATGTGACTGTGTCCGTGTTTGTTCTGCTGCGGAATAAATAAATACGCGCGTATTGTACTTTGGTGTAGTGGAATATAATTTATTGTGCGCATTGTTTACGTAAAATGGCTTATACATAGGAACTATCCGACAGTTTTAATCCCCACCTATATTATTATAAAATAGAATACACGGTGGTGCTAAAAACAATATTTGATTATTAAACGTTATCATGATGATGCCGATTATCCGTCGTATATTTTTATAACGACAGCAAAGTTGGCGATTTTTTTATTTTCGTATATTATTCCCCCCCGGTCACGGAACATTAAAGCGATTTTATCGTGGGCTGAATATCTTAAACCGAGGGATTAGATTATTTTTTCGACGTGTTATCATATAGTTTCAACTGTATTCTGACACCCACGTCTAGGTCACCTTTTTTATATTAAACTACCACGTCGCCGAGCTTTAGTAAGTTTTTAATATTTCCATAATTCCATCGACTGACGAAAAAATCATCTCATTCAAACTTTATGTACTATTATGTTTCAGGTTTTATAAAGTGTGCTGTCAGATATGAACTATGTGATATTATTATTATAATTATAATAATATATAATATTGTCGATGTCCGTATCTATAAACCGGTCTCGCCACCCCTAGTCTCTATACATCATTATCATGTTGCATGTTTAGTAGTTAGTTGCGTTTCTCTCGTCTTCGGCGAGCGACATAAAAATAAAGTTTATATACAGTCCTCACACACACATATTATGATGTTATGATTTTTAATGTAAATATTATCGAGAGAGAAAAATTCCCTTTTCCTCACACAACAACATGTGCAATTATATTTTAATTAATTATGATTGTCATAATGATATTAATATGACGTGGTAACATAAACATGACGTTTGTCTATAATTTTGAATAATTTATTTGATTACTGTGCAATTAATACCAATACATCTATATTATACTATATAATAATATTAATATTATAAAGAGAAAACATTTGTATGTTTGTAATGAATAAACTTAAAAACTAATGGACCGATTTCAAAAATACTTTCACCATTAGAATGCTACATAATCCTTAAGTAACATATCCTATATTTATTTCTAGAAAAAATTAAGGATCCCTACTAAATTTTCAACAATGTTCATTTTTTAATGTATCAATCAGCCCTTTTTTTACTCCCATATCTCGAAGAGAACTCAACGGATTTTAATACGGTTTTCACAAATAGATCGTTTGAGTCAAGTTGAAGGTTTTAATGTATAATTTGTTTTGGAAAAATGATTTGGATGATCAAAAATAACAATAGTATCTGCTATAGATATATAAATTAATGTTTGCCTGTATGTCCTTTATGCATTCCTAAACGACTGGACCGATTTTGGTGACACTTTTTCTTTGTGTTTGAGTGGCTCCTTGGATGACTTTGATTTACAACTGGACCCGGTAGATCCAACCTGGGGGGGGCTCAAACAGGGATTTTGAGATTTATGATGGAAATCTTTGTTTATAAATGTTTGATTTTGGTTATATAGGAGAAATAATAATTAATAGAAATTAGTATTTTCTTTGTATATTGGTTGCCATTGGTTAATCGGTCAGATCAAGCATGCGGCATATAATGGGATTTTCGAACAATGCCTACTTGATATACTGTCGCACATTGTCAGCGATCCGACGTAGTTGCATTTTCTGCAGCAAGTTACACCCAAAATGAGTTTTTCACAAATTTTTTAAGAGTTGACATTTTTTACGAGCAACGAAGTGTGCGAGATCAGCTATATTATAATAAATTAAAGATGTGTAACTCATACATTTAGTACAAATATAGCTATTAAAAATATAAATATTTGACCTGGACAACGTCGAGCAGGACAGCTACTTATATATAAAACAAAATGTTTAAATGTCAAAATATATTATATTATTATTGAATTATATTAAAATATGTGTGTAGTTTCAAGATAAATAAATTATTAAATAATGCACGTATAAAACTAATCGTCTGAGAAACATAATACTACAGTTAAAATGATTTTTGAATGATGAACATTTTAATGGATCAAATATTATAGTAATTTGTGTAAATCATTATTAAGTGCTTTCTCCAGGCAAAGAAATTATGACAGGCAATTATCGTATATCTTCTTATTCCTTGTAATAAAATTCGATTTCATTCCACACCAAAAAATCTATTTTTCTGACTCGACTTTAATGATAATTTTATTTATTGTAAAATGAAATATATATATAAGTACCTTTTTTTTTTATATAAATATTCCATAAAATATTCGTTTGTTTAATATAAAAGCAAATGACACATAATAATATAAATATATCATAATATAATAGGTATCTACATTTATTAATATTATTTAAAAAAGAAATATTATAATTGGAAACTTGTTGAGTATAACTATAATTGTTACTTTCTGTTATTAATAAAACTATAGAAATGTATTTATTTATTTATTTATTTATTTATGGTCAACGGAATAATGGAAGAAGAAAATCGTAAGGAATCCACAGAATTCACAATTTTCAGCTAATAAATAAAAATATTTATTGAATATTGTCGTGTACGCACTTTTCAGTAGTAGACATACTTCAGAAGGTACACACACTGGAAAATCTAAAAAAAACATTAAGCAACTAACCTAACCTAACCAATTGGATTAAGTATCTAATATAACTACACTATCTCCTCCAATCGTTACCTAACGACCAATAGTTAATCGTTTTCAGATAGGATTCAAACAAATAGCAAGGTGTTTTATCTACTCCAAATCTAACTGTAAACAATAATATGTAATTCATTTTTGTACACTGAGACCTTTTATAGAAATGGAATAAACATAAAATTAAAATACAATAAAATACCCGCGTACGACCGCCACACACATTCCACCGACACTTCGGTACTAAAGACTTCTTCACACTTGTCGTGACTGCAGGGTTTTATTACAAACGGTTAAATTTTGTTATTCCGTCACATTCGCATGGCCTGGCCTATATTAATAACTTATTATAGTTATTTTTTAAAA